ACTATGAGCGCGCTCATTTGCATCGCTGTGTTTCACAGCAGTAAAAATTTACGAGTGCTTGGAAAGGTTAAATTATACTATTGTGTTTAGTTTGGGAACCCACTGTAAATAATACCGTTCCGTTCGGCTTAGAGCTGGCAGCGGAAAGTCAAATTCAACGTATCCCCTTTCCGAAACCCCGGCGCAGAGCCGGCCCTCCCCGCCCGGCCGGAGAAGGACAGGGGCAGGCGCTGGCTCGGTATTTAGTCTGACCCGCACCAAGCTGCACTTCACCAGCCCACCCCGCCGGGCACGGCGCGGCAGTGACCGAAACACCCTCCTCGTCCTCCCCGCTGCCCCTGCCCTTGGACCGGGACCCCCTCGCCAGGCCGGGGAAAGGAGCCGGGGCTGGGCGGCGGTGCGGCGGCGGCCGGAGGGGAGCCGCCGTCTTGGCCGGGAGGGAAGGAGTGCGGCCAGAGCCGGCCGGCGGTATTTATCACCACAATTAATTCTTCAACTATGCAGGGAAGCAGCGGGGGGAAAGGGGAGAAAATGCCCGGTCTCCCCTCTGCCGAAAGGCACCCTGCTTCTCCAGGCGGCTATCAAAGGGGCGTTCGCAGTCGGCCGTCCCGCATTCTGGTGAATCCAATTTATGTTCAAATATAGTTATTTATTTGCTGGCACCTCCTGTGACTGCAGGACACACGCTAGCGGCATCGGAAGCCGAGCGGAGGGTTGCAATCCTCCGCAGAAGGAGGGGAGGGTGCGCGGGGGAAAGTAAGAGGCGGCCAGATCCAAGTCCAGTGTTAGGAATTAAAGTAGTGGCTGAGCTCTTGGCAAACACGCCTGCGACTCCCTGATTTCTCCCTGGCGGACATTCACGCTGTTTATCCCCGTGGCTGGCGAAGGAGCGCGGTCACTAAGATGCAGGGGGCACAAAAAATCTCCGTGAGAGGCTCAATTTACTCGAAATACTTGGTATTGAAAATAGAGCCCAGCAAATGGTAGGGGCGACTGAGTAATGATTAAAATCGCGTGTAAATACTCTGCATGCGAAAAGTGTGGTTCTAATTAGTTTTACATCGCTATGTGGGCTTTCTCTCTCCCTCTCTCTCTCTCTCTCTCGCTCTCTTTCTTTCTTTTTCTTTTCATGTCTTCTCAGCAGTTTAATCCGAAATCTTACAGAGGTCCTATTTTAACACCGCTCTCTTCCACAGTCAAAATTACAAAGGCCCATAATGAAACTATTATCCCCCATTAGAGTTCGAAAATCGTGGAACAGTTGCAAGATTTCAATAAACAAGGGACCCGTTATTTTCTAACAATTTTAAAAATGCAAATAAAGCTCTCTCGGCTTTTTTTTTTTTGGCTTTTTTTTTTCTCCCATTGTATAGACACATAGAAAAAAAATAATTGTATTTCTTTCCTGGAAAGACGGAACTCCACGTCATTTGTATTTATTATTAAGAGTCAGCTGTGGTGAAATGTGATTGTAGAACTTCCTTTTTCCATTCAGAAAAAATAATCTTAGCTGCAGGAGTCCTGGATGTTTATATTCGAATTTGGGTTCTCAACTTCAGCAGCGGGTTTTATTTTTTTGGTTCCTCACCAAAACTAATAGCAAATGAATAACAATAACAATGGCGTTTAAAAGAACGTGACTGCATTTTTATTTCCCCTGTAAAATTCCGCATTTGTTCACTGCCAGCATCCAAGAGGCAGAAGAGGTTATACAGAAAGCAAGAGGAGAAATACAGCAAATAGTTGGACATTTTTCACGCGGTCACGTTGCTGATAATAACGCTGGCATATTCGACTCTTTTATCGCCGTTTTAGATCCATTTTCACCCGAAGTACATTTTTCATATGAGCCATGAAGGCGATTTCCCTTCGTCAATTTACTTTGCAAATGACTTAAGGTTTTGGTGACTTACACCTTCGGGGGCAAAAGCCCCCTCAAACAGGGCCGAAGCAGACATTGACATAAAAACGCTATATGAAACCAGAATTCCCAGGAATGAAGCACTGTGAGAGCGATCGTGTCCGAATTAAAGTACTCCCTTTCCTCCATCCCAACATAACCGAACCAGCAGAGCTCCCATCCCGCTAGCTCCGACCCCCGGCTGCATCAGGAAGGATCCCGTCGGTTTTTAAACCGGGGAGAATCTGCCAGCGCTGCTTCATTAGCCACGCACGGCGGAGGAGAGGAGCATAAGCGGGCGCGGGGCAAGAGTTCGCGGGCGTTGGCGATCTCTCCTGAACGGGAAGTTCAGGATCGCCTTTCCCCAGGGTTTCCTGCCACTGCAGACCTCTCTCACGGAACCAGTGGTGCTACGAAGCCACGGAGGGGTTTTGGCACAGTGAAGAGAAAAAATGATTCAGAATTTAGAGGAAGCAGTCCAAAATCAGGATGAGGCGATTCAACTGGGAATCAAAAGGGCAGAGGCAAAAGACGCCATACGGGCACACACAGACACAGGCACTGTAAATGCACTTTCCGAAATGTACACAGACCCTGCAGATAGCCCGTCAGACCTTGTGTGTAGAGGCAAACACAAGCACTTAAATTTGACTGCAATGCAGAGCTCTGCTCCTGCCCCGGCCAGAGACGACTGCTTTTCCGAGTACGGCTGAAATCCGCTATCCAAACTCATCTGAGCTCCTGCAGCCCAGTCCGAAGTTTCGAAAAAGTTTTTAGCTTTTACTATCGCTATTTTTTTAAGGCAAAAATAATCACGACAGCTAAAAAATTCATAGAAATAAATGTGCAACGAGTGAGTTTTCTGTCCTTTTCCCCTCCCTCCTTTCCTCCGCGAAGGGTGCCCCGCTCCGCGGCCCGCCGGCGCTGGCTGCTGGCGAAGGGCCCGGCCGGAGCCCGCCCATTGCCCGCGGTCGCGCTGCGAACACAAAAGGCGGCGGTGGCGGCGACGGCAGCGGGCCCGGAGAGGTCGCTGTTGCCCGTTCCGCCGCCGCGGAGAGCCCGCACCGCAATCGTGATCGTAACCGAGGCCTTGCGGGCCGCAGGGCAGCCAGCGCCCCCGGACAGCCCCGGGGTAGCGGGCCCGACGGCGGAGGCACAGAGCCGGCCGAGCCGTGCGCCGGGCTCCGGCAGCACCAGCCACCCCACCGCGGGGGCCGAGGGCACCCCTCCGCCAGCGGCTCCACCCGGCCGCGGGCGATGCGCTCCGGGCCCCTGTTTTTGATGACGCCTGGAGCGGGGCAGGCAGATTTGGTCTCTCCCCACCCCCTCCCCCAGGCACGCTTTCGGGTCTCTTGGTTTTTAATAAATCCAGATTGAAAAATAAAACAGCCACCCACCTCCCACCGGCCCCCCGAGCTCGACCCACGCCGAGCGGAATGCAAAAACGCACCTGACCTTGAATGCAGCCAACGAGATATATTAAAAACCCGCAAGCAGGCAGGGACTCGCTTAGGAGCTAGCTAACCTTGAAGAACTTGTCAAGCTTCCCCTCTCGGCTGCCGTGTTTATCTGAGGAATCAAAGGAGGCTCCGCTGCAGATGGGAAACAATGGCATTGGGACTTGACGCCTACAGTTCACTTCAGCGCTAAGATTTCTTCGGGTAGAAAGGACCCTCGCACCAAGCATACCTGGTGATGATATCAACTGAAGTAATTAAGGCAGTTTCGTGCTGTAGAGAGAAAGGTGGAGCCCCAACAACATGAAACTACCTAAACCACAGAGCAGTTCTCAGGCGCTAATTATTACTCTCCCCATTGCCGTGGTCCTTAACGCAAGGATCCCGCTACGAAAATAAAACCAGAAACGTGACTAAAACATCCCTCTCGCCCTCCCGCCCACCCCGCCGGCGCCCCTCCGCGCCCCCCGGCCAGCCTCGGGTGGGTTAATGAAAACAAGAATAAAATATAATAACAACCACCCACACACGCGCGAGCGGGCAGATTTCGCCTTTCCATGCAGATGTAATCGGGGAAAAAAAAGGGCCGTGCACGACCATGTTACATCACGAAAAGCTAACGGCTCCCAAGAAGCCCGGGTTCAAAGTCTGTCCCCCCTCCTCCTCCCCGCATACATATACCCTTGCAAGGAAGCATTAGCTGTCTCTTTTCTTCCAGCCTTCCTTTCGCCTTCCCTTTGTGAGAGACCCTATTAGCTAAACATGCAGCAAGGAAAAGAGGATTTTAAAAATTAAATAAATAAAAAATGCAGCCTGTGTGAAATAAGCTCTTCCACATGCAGCCAGGTAGGGAATAGCCTTGCCTGGAGGGGCCCGCTGGCAGGGAGGCGAGGCTGGGGTCCCCCCTCCCCTCCCCATGAGCTCACCTTTACGATTTCTTCTCAGCCCTGAGATAAAGCTAGAATTTTGTCAACGTCCTCTGGAGTTAAAGATCTCCGCACACACTTGTAGGGGTTCAATAAAAAAAAAAAAAAAAAAAAAAAAAAAAAAAAAGGGAAAGAAAAGAAATATATCGTTTCCCTACCCTCAAGAAATAGTAATTTGCTTCCTCAGTCTATGCAGTTCCTCAGTCAACTGAAACCACTCGTTCAAGACAGCAACAATCCAGATATACTAGCAAGTCATAAAACTGAACAAAAGCCGACAAACCTTAGAGCACCATCGCTATATGGCCCAGACAAATTACGACCGTCTAGGTAATATTTAAATAGATTCCTAAAGTAATTGCAGGGGGTTTAGGCAACTATTCCTGTTGTAAAAGTTCTCGAAGACATAAAGTAGAACCTGAGGATAAACAGTCACAAAAAGAGGTAAAATTAAAAGGATTCGTTCCACGCTTTTTTTTTTATTCTTCTATGAGAACATAAACATCGTCTTTTTCACTCACAGCAGCATTACAATATTAATTTATTCCGATTTAAGGTAAGAACTAGATATAGCTAGAACTAACATTTATAATAACGATAGAATGCATTTGCTTAAAACAGTATCGGCATTTTAATAATAATAGACATTTATCCATATCTGTATTTATAGCTTTTCCCCTTCTTTCTTTTTTTTTAATATTTTTAAATTTTTTCACCTATATGTTTGACCCTTTAATGCATGTAACTTCACAGTATAAAGGAAGATGAACATATTCTCCCTCACAATTTCAGACTCTGGCTCAGAAAGTCCATCTGAAAGTTCAGGATATATATTTTTCAGTGAAATTAGTGAGGAAAAAAGTGACTATTTTCTTCTCAAGGGGGAATTTCTGTGTGCTTGTCATGTGTTACCAACGGTAACGTTATATATAGACACAAAAGAAAATCACCAAATTCACATATTTAAGCAAAACTACATTAAGTAAATATCTACAACCAGCGAGAGAAATTCAGAGGTAAGTGTAATAATTTAGTCCATGAGTAAAACGAACTCTTTTATACCTTTAAAGAGAAGATATTTCATTTTCCTGGCCAAATTTAAAGCTGTAATATTGGCTTTTAAGGTAAAGTGTAAAAAACAACAACAAAAAAATCACTCCTAACACCCGTTCCCGTTAAACCCTTTTTAAGGATGCCTGCATTTCATTATTTTAAGTCCCGCTTTTGGAAGGAAAAAAGGGGGAGGGGGAGAAAAGGCAAACAGAGAAGGGCAAAGCTCCCAATATATAGAAATATGGCAACGCTTAAATTCTTCGTTGTGCAGCTACGTACAGTCCAAGTTACAGCACTTATATTTTTAAAGAATGCACCTTTAAACAGGATTGTTTACTTTTCAGAGAGAGAGAGATAAGGGAAAACATATTTGCAGCTCCTGAAATGGTATTTTTGTGTTTCAAAGCTTAGAGGAACAAATTGGCCCCGGGAAAGGCTGAAGGAAGAGGGGAGGTTCACACACGGCATTTTGTGCTTTAGCGTGACTTTAGTCCGCCCACCCCCCAAAAGTAGCTCTTAAGAGGTTAAGGACATATTGAGAGCGCCTAAAAACGTTAATCCATACAGGTGCGGATGAATACAGCCTAGGAAAATGATACTGGCTCTTTAAACCATAAAGATGTGTTTATAGGTTCATCAAGAGAAATTAAAGTTGGCTGTGAGCTCCCGAATCCTATTCTCTCTGTTCATTTTCTTCAGTTTCATTCTGCGGTTCTGAAACCAGATTTTAACTTGTCTGTCTGTGAGGTGGACTGTGCGGCTGATCTCTAGGCGACGCTCACGAGTCAGGTACATATTGAATAGAAACTCCTTTTCCAGCTCGAGAGTTTGGTGCTTGGTATAGGGGCATCGTTTCTTTCTGCCACTTTTTGCCGTGAGCCAGTTTGCTGCATTTTCTCCTTTTGAATTGCCTAGTTTTGAGAAAGTAAAAAATGGACGTTACCATCGGGAAGGAGGCAAAGAGCTGTGGGGGAGAGGGTGGAAGGAGCATCTGTGCGTGTGTCTGTGTGTGCGGTGGGCTCTCTCCGCCAGCTGCGGACAATTGGAATGTGGGGTATCCTTGCTGGAACCCAGAGCTTCAAAAAGGTTTCCCAAAGGTTTTGGGCATGCCCGGGTAAAAACTGCCACTGCTCAAAAACCTCCGGACAGCCTCTGGTGGGGTAGAGTGCCCCAGACTGTAGTTCATCTCCGACCCTCCAAAATGAGCTCCTAGCCTCTCCCTGTCGGCCATTCCGAGCCCTCTGGTACTGGGGGCAGCTGATGAAGGGCCCGTAGCCTTATTTCCTTCCCCCCAGGCACCTGCTTCCAAAAAAACAAAGCCTCCGGATCCGGACTTTGTAAGTGTGCAACGGAGGTGGAAAACAAGGTGAGCTGGAGAGCCGGAGCCTCCCTGCCTTCAGCCCCTGCCTTTCCGGAGAGCATCGCCATGGCCCTCTCTTTTCCAACCATTTCGGGGAAGCAAAAATACAGTCATAACAATAATGAAAATGTTTCGAGGTGATTTCTATCAGTGGAACTGGCTGGGAAAGAGGTAGCACCAATCCCTTGGTGGCTCAGAGTGGTTAGTGTTTTGGGGTTGGCTCTCTTAACAGTTTTTCGCTGACCCTTTTTTTTTTTCCTTTTCTTTAAACACTACTTTCCAACGGGTAGGCTGAAAGGAATAAGAGGGCGTCTGAAAGGCGGACGGACAGAAGCTCCTGAAAAGTCTGCCGTCCGGGGAAGGGGAGTTATTTTTTGCCATGGGGACACGAAAGGGAAATAAATAAGGAAATGTATAAATAACAACTCTGTTATCTAGTGTAGATGCTGAAGGATATTCGCCGTGCATTCATCAGTCTAATTTGATAGCAGCTCATAGATGGCACATTTCAGAGCGGTTGTTATTCCGAAAAGCATTCTGGATCGTAAAATATAACTTACCGCGTTAATAGGTTTATTTATTGGCACTGCCTATTGCTTATTTTGGATGCTTTACAAACATCTCTGTTATCTGGTAGGCACCTTCACATCACGGGGGAGAGATTGATCTTGTTTTTCTATGTTTTAGCAGCATGCAGGCTAAAGTTGCCCAGAGAGTAGGCTCTAAGGGTTTTAAACTATAGGATGGACATTAATTTTTACGGCAACCCCATGCCCGAATATTACAAAGTTCAGAAGGTCAGTCTGAGCAACGCTTCTTGGCAGCCCCGCGGGGCAGCTGGGATCCTCCTTTCGCATCTCAATGCCGCTATGATCCTCAACGACTATTTTTTTTTCTTTTTTTTTTTTTCCTTTCTTTCTCTTTAATCATCACTACCACCATCACCATCATCATTCGCTTACCTACAGGCTCTTTCTCGGGAGAAGCTTTGCTGCTCTCTGACGGAGCTGGAGAGAGCTCCTCTGCGGTGGAAGATGAAGCCTGAGTCTCTTCCTCCCTCTGGGAGACGCACGCCAAGGGGCTTGGGGAGCGTTCCTCATCCTCCTTCCTCCCCGCGTCCGGGACGGGAGGCAAAGATGGAGGCGTCTGGAAGCGGCCGGGGGGCTGCGGAGGGAAAGGGGCAGCCCCGGCTGGCCCCGCGCCGTAGTTCTTGGAAGTGCCATAAGCCTGGGACAGGCGGAAGTAGCCCGGGACGGGGACCCCGCCGCCGCTGCTGGCTGGGCTGACCTCGGCACTCAGCCGGGGGAAGGGAGCGAGGTCTGTGGCTGCCGAGCCCTTGGGGCATTTCTCTGAGTCATAGAGGCAGTAAGAGCTCTCCTCCTTAATGCTCGGAGCGAAGGAGCACGAGGTGGCCTGCTGGCTCTCCGGCTCTTCCATGCGACAGGACCGGGGGGGATCTAGCCACACTTCCATCCCTGACACGTAGGAGTGCGAGCTGGGGACCATGCTTTGAGAAGTACCTTCATTGCGTTTGCTGAGAACGGGGAAAAGTCCGCAGCTTTGCAGCCCGTAGGACAGATCGGACGCCTGTGGCAGGTAGATACCACTGTTGGGATAGTAGCCGCCTCCGCCTCCGCCTCCGCCTCCTGCTCCCGCCGCTTCCCCTCTGCCCGAGCTGATCAGGGAGTCTACCAAAAAAGAGTTTGCAGCCGGGCTCTCGGAGCATGACATTGTTGTGGAATAATTTGGCGAAGGGAGCAGATAGCCCTTTCTGGCTGACATTTCTTGTGCAAAACATGCTGAATATGATGAGAGATACCCCCGCACCACGGCAGGCGCCCGCAGCCAATGGAAGCCCGGGCCTCCCCAGCAACCCCTCCCCGTCTGGTTTCGTATGCACAGAGCTGCTCTCAGGTCGACCTCTGAATTTGGAAGATAGATGTATATTAATGTGTAATATGGATTTCCATACACACAGGCGCGCGCGCTTCCACCACATGGGCGAGCGCCTGCGCCCAGGCGGGAGCCGCGCTCCCGGGAAGGGGAAGGGGAAAGGGAAGGGGAAAGGGAAGGGGAAAGGGAAGGGGAAAGGGAAGGGGAAAGGGAAGGGGACAGGGAAGGGGAAAGGGAAGGGGAAAGGGAAGGAGCGGGCTGTGCTGGTACTGGCTCCAAGTTTTGCTCCCCTCTTATCACACGCACAGCTATAAAATAGCCCGGCGGTCCTGATGTTTATTATACCTAGGCTGAAGCGGTGTCCAGATGAAGCTTTTACTATCGCTCCTCTCTCCCCGTGGTTGGGCTTTCCAGCAGCAATGCCTGTTCACCTCTCTGCGCAGCCTATGTGTCACACGAAATTAATAAAGCCACGGCTCGCCCGGTGTTTTATGCTCAGCCTCTGCTCATTTTATTTGATTGTCTCGTTTTTTTAAGAAATAAAAGACGTGTTATTGTTTATCACGGATCATTGGAAACCGTAAAGGGGCCTGGTGCCTCCCGCGTTAAACTACCGAGGAAGGGGGCTGCTTGTAGCCTAACATCACCGCCACGACGCCAGGCTGGGCTTAATTTTCCTGGAGATAAAATGCTCGCCGCTGCGCTGAGGAATCTCTTAGGGAGCAATGCCACTCTGGGAGGATTGATTGTGCGGTTGCAGCTTCTAATGCTTTAGTTAACGCTGGATTCTTCCTGAGGTCTGATTACCATTTAAAATATAAAGCCAGACATATGTCACAGAAAGAATCCAGACGCGAGCAGTTCAAATGGATCCTCTCAGGATGCTGCGCACCGTGTTTATTGATGTGTTTATATTTGGACGATCATTTTTATATCTCCCCTCCCTCCCGCTCCATTTGGGTCTTTTCACTTTTCGCATCCTCAAAAACATCGTCCCCCTTAAGCAATGTACTAAATAATAGAAATAAGAGTCGCTAGAGAAATACCGAGATACCAGACGGCCCAGTCCAGTCAATATGTAATTGTGGCGGAGGCAGCAGACAGATAGCAGACAGGCAGGGATGCAGGCAGAGAGACAGATAGATTTCGTAATGAAATGCTTAATGATGACTTGCTTTCACTTCCATCATCTCTCGCTTATGCCATTTTGAAGTCGCCTCACTGCCTGGCCCGCGGAACTAAGGGCACTTTAGTTCAAGGGGAGCCTGAGGCTGCCCAGTTCTCGCTGCCCATCCCCGAGGAGCATCACTCGCTCCTCTCTCCCGAACGCCGCCTGGAGAAGCAGCCGTCGGCCGGTTTCCGCTTCCAGCAGGACGGGCGGGTGCGAGCTGCCGCCGACCGGGCGTCATCACGGCCCGGGACGAGAGCCGCTGCCGGGCACCCGGCTGCCTGCGGGGAGGCGCCCGAATTCCCCGGCCCCTACCCTCGGCCTTCAAAACCCCCGGGGAGCACTTCTTCCCCCTCGCCCCACGGATCTGTCAAGCCCCACGTGGTCTTGTCCCGCACTGCTTGCCTGCCACGGGGAAAAGCTTTTTTATTTTCCACAGCGTGACATTCCCCTGGAGGAATCGCTCCTTGCGGCAGGAGGGCAGCGTCCCTTCCCGCGGGGCCCTTCCCAGCCTCCCTCCGCGCCCCCGGGAAGCACCAGGACAGGCGGGGGATGCTACAACTTTGAAACACCCATCAAATCTCTGTGGAAAGGCGCCTGATTTTTCCAGCGTGGTGGGGAGAGCATCACAGCGCGATTTCCTTCTGACCGGCCCGTGGGATGCGTTGACAGGGGTAGATCTCCCAGCCTATAGAAACCCTTCGAGGTTTTTTTCCTTCCCGCATTTCCTCCTGCAGCATTGTTTGTAATTTCCCAACCCGACTAACTTCGGATGTGTTAATGTGCGACGGACGAACCCTTATCAGATTCCTAGGAGGGCCATATCATTACTAACAAAATTAATACCACATAAGGAACTGGTTTATTGGCTGGTATACAGGAAGGCTATTATCAATAGGCTTAGCTTCATAAATACAGATCTAAATAAAAAGAAACGTGAGCCCCAGCGCCGCCTTCCAAATACATTTCTCTACACAAGTCAGGTATAAAAATGACTCTGGGGAAGTCTGCTCTTGCGGTATGTTTATTTTGCATTTGCCAAATTAAATAGAAACGGATTGCAAATCTAAAAGCCATACGGAATCGAGGAGAAACGCTTGAAATCCTTCCAAAGCTGTTTTTAAAATAAGCAGCTCCCTTTTGAAAATTGGATTAAAGTAAAGGAAAATACTGTAAAAAGTGCGCTGCAATCCTCGTCAGCCGGAATAAAATGACTGGAAGTGCATCGATGAGACGCGAGTTGGCTTCTCCTCCCTGTGCGATCTAACGCAGGGGAATTAGACAAAAGGCAACAGAGGCCGGTGAGAATTTTTGGAGGTATTCTTTAGGCTCCCTGTTTAGGTTTTGCAGCAGTGGGTCACCCCAGCCCCGTGTCAGGTCCCGCGGGAGCTGCCGTGGGGTGTTGTGTTGACCGCAGTAAACGGTGCCGGTTTGATGGTCAAGGCACCGACTCCGTCTAGATCATGAACTCAGCTCGGCGTTGCATTATCTCCGCTTTCTTTAATCGCTAACAAGGCCAAGGCAAATAGTAACCAGCATCATCAAACCCAGTGAAGTAAAACTAATAATGTTCACTTGATTCGTAACTATAAAAGATAATGGTCAATTCTGACTAAACTGAGCTAATTTGGCATGCGCTGAGTGTAGCTACTGCATTACCGGCGCTTAACAATGTGTCCCTTGGAACTTAACCCCCATTTTAAAAGAAATTTTAAAGAATATTGTGGACGCCAGGGGACAAGAATTACTTTATTTTTAATTCCACTTCTGTAAGTAAAGCTATCCGAGGGTCTATAAAACCGAGCAAATAAAATTCTGATAAATATCAAAGCCGGCGAGAAGGTGTTTTCGTGGAGAATCTAAATTCATGGCGTACATAGACAATACTATCAAAATAAAATTTTATTGATCTAAGAAAAATATAATAGATGCATTAATAGCGTCGTTAAGCCGTTTTATTGGTTGAACTAAAATTAAAAACAAAAAGGGAATAAATAAAAACCGACAGCTCAGCCTAAGCAAACTCTGACTGGAAATCTCAAAACGTATCGTGTTAAACCGTGATTTATCTTTTTATTATTGGCCCGTATAACCCAAAAGATCAGCGCTGTTAATCCAGAGGCGCATTTTGCGAGCTAATTAAAATATGCTTTTATTTGTAGACACGGGCAAGCTGCAATTTGTGAAAACGTAAACGGCCTTGCAGCCTGTGCAGGCGTGCATGCGCCGCCTATCTGAGAATACAGCCGCGGACTACATTTTATACAGCTCCAAAAATTAATGTGATCAGACTATAGTTATTTAATATTGAAACTGTCAGTTGCCTGGAACGTGTATGTGTGTGTGCCAGATTCCTCTTTTTTATTTTTCTTTTTTTTTCCCCCCCTTTTTTTTTTTTCTGGATTTGCTCCAAAGAAGGCGGATTTCAAACAGGAGGTTTAGGAACTGAGTCTGTGCCAAGTTAGGTGACAAATGACGGGCCCACTAATTTTATCTTTACTAGAAATTCTTTCACGCTGGTGGTGGTGCTGGGGAGGTTGGCTTGTTTTGGCGGATTATCTTGTTAAAAATTAGGCTGCTATTTAATTTTATTCCAGCCATCCGGAGGCTTGCTCTCCTAACTATGTTTTATATTATACATGTATCGTTTTACTCATTTGGATTAGGAACATATTTTGCAAGTAATTCTGACGAGCTTCAAATGTTAGTGTGCGGCAGGACAAAATACACCCAAACCAATTCATTAGGGCTTTATTTCCTCGCCATTTTCCGGCACGGACGAGAACAACGGGGCTTTCTATTGTCCGGAGAGCCCCAAACACCATGCAGAAGCAACAACGGTATCGGGTTCTATATGTGTGAGGAAAATACTGCATACCTAAGTCTGTCTTTTAAGTGTACCCCTTCTATTGCGAGAGATGAGCCGCACAGTTCTATTAAGCATTTGAAACTGTAGCCCTTCTCCCTATTTGTATCTGTCTTCCCTTTAAAGAAGACCGGAATGTATATACAAATATCGTTTGTTTTTGGTTGTGGTATAGCTTGGCTGTCAGACACACACGTTGGCCAGAAGTTTCGATTTTCAGAGCATTTAATGAAAAGATTGTGACCCAAAAAAAAAAAAAAAAAAAAAAGGACAACAAAACACAAACCCAATGAGCTTATGAAAAAGCCTCCCAGGGGTTTGGATGTGGTATGTGAGCTGAAGTTGAGTACACGATTAATTAAACACAGTGTAGACACTGAGCTGGCTTCCCCTCTTCCCTCCAAAACATGCAAACCCAAATAATGTGAAATAATAAACAGTTATTGTAAGAAACAATCTTGTTTTTTTAAAATATTATCCTATGACCGCGGCCGTCAGTAAACAATTCGTAACCAGAGGGCGCTTTAACTGCTGCTGGGGTCCCTTTGATTTATTCAGCCAAGTATTGAATGGGACAGGGAAACAACAAGGGGAAAAATAAATATTTGATCAAATATGCGGAGTTTAAGTTGACTGGTGTAAAATGAAATGTTGCAAAGGGACCCTCAAATCTCCCTGCTTCTCACGTGGCTTCTCGCGTCCTGGCATTGCTGAGGGGAAGTCAAAAGGGATCAACATCCCCGAGCTTTTAATGGAGTATCTTTGATGAAATCGATAGGTTCCGATAATCATCTGAAACTGCACTCCGTCCACTGAACATGTGCATTTAACTACACTTGCAACAGTTCCCTGGAA